CCAAGTTTATGGATGCAAGTACAAAAAAAAAAAAAACATAAGGGAACTACAGTGCTTTAAATGCCAAAGTCTAGTATTGGTATTATAGCATTGTTCAAAACCATGTTGTGTGTCTTCAAGCTAAAATATGATTTTTTTTTCTTTCTTTTTAGTACCTTCCTGTACCTGAAGTTCCTGGTTGTGTGGGCTCTGGTGCTGCTGGCAGACTTTGTGCTTGAGTTCAGGTTTGAGTACCTCTGGCCGTTTTGGCTCTTCATGCGGAGTGTGTACGACTCTTTCAGATACCAAGGACTGGTGAGTTGCTTTGGATTAGGATTTGCACTTGTTTTTGTTTTTTTACATAAAACTGAATGAATAGCATGAACTCAACCTTGGTATGGGCCCAGAAAATCAGGTTTTACAAAGGACTTTGAGAAACTATAAATAACTCTCACAACTAAGACACAAATGTGCAGATTATTGTGTCAGCCTGGTGTATTAAAACCTGGATGTTTGGCAGACATAAAATAAGCATAAACATTTAGTATAGCTGTTATGAATAGGCTCTGGGTCACTTTGTCCCTCCCTTCTATTCTGAGCAAGAAAACAATCAATTTTTAAAAATCCATTTTAAACATAAACAGACCACTGTGTACCAGTTTATGATTTTACAATTGGAGGAATATAGCCACATTTTCTTTCAGAAATAGACTTTGAGAAAATTATAGAAAATTACTTCAAATTCTCTATCAAATTGGGTTCACAGCATCTCTCTGGCAGATGGGTATTGACTCATAGCTGTAAGGAAACATTGTGGAGCAGATGGATCCATTTTGAACCTGAAAAAATGGGTTAAAGTTGACCAAATGGCAAGAAGTTAAAGGAAAATAAATAGCTTCAAAATGTTCTCTTGGGGTACAAAGAGATACATAAGCAGATTAAATACAAAATTGCAACAAAAGAGAGCAAATTGAGCAACGCCATGTAAGTCCTTAACATAAATTAAAAGATTTCAGTTTATTAATATTTATAAACATCAATTCACAACAAATGCCATCTCAAGACACTTTGCTAGACATAGATCTGATTTACATGCAGAAATATAAAGTCAAGTCAGCCCAGTGATATACACACATTCAAACTATGTATTTGGGGAAACCCAGCTAGTTTTACCAAGTCATTGAATTTAAAGTACTTTTTTCTTCTTGTCTTTCTACATTAACATCTTCTTAAGTTCCTTTTCTGGTGCTTAGGGGAATTTTAGGTAGAGAATTAGTTGTACCAAAAGCTTATCTGAAAGAGTTTCACTTTCACCATGCACCCAGTCACATCTCGACAAACTTTTGTTGTTATGATCATAGATTTACTTGTAGAGACACAATGTATGATTGCTGAAAAGTTTAGCATTTATTTACTACAAAAATAAAATTAAGAAACGCTGTTTGCCAAATTTCTTGTATGGTGTGGATGTGTGTGTGGGGGAGGGGAGACCAAAACAATAAATTCCATAATTATTACTTTTGGCATATTTTGATTGTGTTGCTGTAATTTCAGTGAAATTCACTTAATCTCAAAAACATGTTTTTGTTTTGATAAATCTCATTCGCTGCCTTTTCCTATCCGATGAAAAGGTTTAGCTCTGACCAGGGCTGCACTTCTGTAGTCATGATTATATATTCATAATGTATGCTAAGTTATAAAGGCTCTACTCTGCCTGTGATGCGTTAAAGCCCGTGCACAGCATGTTCTTGTTGAAATGTTTTGTGTAGGTGTTTGTTTGTGTTGCTGTTTCTCAATATGATACTAAACAGATAACCAAAGATATACTGTATTTACATAAGCTTCAATGGTTAACTGAAGTATCTCTTTTAGAACTATAAAAATAAGTGAAGAAATTTTTTCCACTTTTTTATCCTTTTGTAAAACAATTTAATTCTTCTCCGTTAGATTTGTAAGCATGAGTACAAATATTAAAAGGCCTTTGTCTGTTTTCTTATCGCCCCTCCTTTCTGTTTCAGGCGTTTTCAGTATTCTTTGTTTGTGTGGCGTTTACCTCGGACATCATTTGCCTCCTCTTCATCCCGGTGCAATGGCTATTCTTTGCTGCCAGTACCTATGTGTGGGTGCAGTATGTTTGGCACACAGGTAAGTGTTTTCCATGTTTTGATTTTCTTAACATTTCCTAGTTTCAATGTTGGATTGGACCAAGGTGAAAATTTTAAAAATTCAGAAAAAAAATTTCTGCCAGGTTTCTTCTGTCAATCAGATCTTTTGGCAGAGAGTTAAATTTTTTTTAGTTATAGAAATAAGAAAGACAATGTCAGTTCATTTATGAGACGTACTAAACATCCTTTTTTGTCGTTTCCCATCAAAGTCTCATTTGAATACTTTCCAAAAAGAGAAGTGGGTATTATTTAAAACCACTGCTCATTATTGTGTTTGCTTGCTTGCAAACAAGATTTATTTCAGAAAAATTTGAATGTTGGGTATAAGCGAGGTACGCTCTGCAAATTACCTGTCAGACTGATTTAGTGGCGTCTGCCTGAGTTGAGCGAAGGCCAGGTGTCAGATTGAAATCCAAGAGCCTGTTGGTGGGAGAGACGCAGTGGTTCCCAGTTGCTTTCTGAACTCATCAGTGACATTCAGACTCTCAGCATGTCATAGGAGTATAAATATCTTGTTGCAGCCCACAGCTTGGTGTTGAATGTTTGGAGTGCAGTGCTGCTAAGAAACAATGAGTTGAGACTACTTCAGGGCACACTAAATCCTTACTGATAATAGTGCAGTGATGGAAATCAGAAGACAAATTATAGATCTGTATGACAGAAATGTTTACATATATTTCTTTTAAGTGAAACAGGTTTATATTTTTATCTAAACAATTTTACCCACTTTTAATTCCTCAAGTTTAAAATGAGATTCTGATACTTGTGTTTTTGTTTCCTCGATGCAGAGAGGGGTGTGTGCCTCCCGACTGTGTCTCTATGGATACTATTTGTGTACATAGAGGCGGCCATCAGATTCAAAGACCTGAAAAATTTCCATGTGGACTTATGTCGTCCTTTTGCTGCACACTGGTGAGCGTCACTTCTGTTTTTATCAACGGAAAATGTATCTTACGAGTTAAAAACCATGTTCTAATGCTGTTTTACTCATGGTGTGTGCTTTTATTTTTGTAATTATGCCCATCTTTTGATGGGCCATTTTGTTATACCTTTTTGCCAACTATTAAAAAAAAAAAGTTTGGCTTGGTTTTTGGAAACCAATGATTTCCTTATTTGTTTTATCACTGTGAATTGACTTATACAATTGGTTTGTTGTAGAAATGTACTGATCCAATATCTTTACCAGTCCCAATATTGAAAACAATGGTTCCTTTATGACATTTTGAAAAGTTCAAGTGATATGAATACTTTTGTGTGTTTTGAGTCATCATTGCGCTGAATTAAACAAGACTTCTCCGCATCCATCTCTATAGCATTGGCTATCCTGTAGTCACGCTGGGCTTCGGCTTCAAGAGCTACGTCAGTTATAAAATGCGTCTCCGGAAGCAGAAGGAGGTGCAGAAGGAGAATGAGTTTTATATGCAACTTCTACAGCAGGCTCTGCCTCTGGAGCAACAGATGCTTCAAAGGCAAGAGCGAGAAGCAGAAGAAAGTAAGAGTCCGACATAAAGTTCTTTGTGTTGATGGGAGATTCCCAGTTTCAGAAGTATTGCTGATACGTAAAAACAGATTTTTTTGCAACGTTGATGCATCGTTCTGGGGTCTGCATTAATATAAGATCTTTAATAGTTACCTGTTAGCTGCTCAGTTAACAGTTTGAACATGTTCAGAAGGAAGTAGTAATGTGCCATAAAAAAAGTATGTCCCTTTTTTCAATTTTTGCACCTAAACGTTTGAAATCATCAAGCAAATTTGATCAAACATAGCCTGAGGAAATTCAAAAAGCACCAATTCAGTTTCACTTGCTATACGTAGCCTGAATAAGGCCTCCCCTGGAAAAATCAAGAAATCATTTAAATAGGGTCTGCCTGACAACATGAAGTATGTTGAGCAACACCTCAGTCAGAAACAGACGAGAACTTCATTTTACAAAAATATTTCGATTAAATCTTCCTGCCTTCGGCTGATAAAGCTCATTAACCTGATGTAGAGTGTTGCACATAATCTGTGTATCAGTCGCCTTTCTGAAGGGCTAAGCTTACAGTGCTCTATGATGCCTTGTTTTGAAAGGTCACCATTCCCTCAGGGTTAAATCCAGTGAGCTTTTCAACCTGTTCAGTTTTTGTTATGGCAAGGAGTGGTATGTGTCAGTAGCCATCTGATCCCACAGACACTGCATTTGTCATAGCGCTGCTTTACCTTTGCATGAATCAATGCATTTACTTTGCTTAACAATTCAGGGCTGATGTGGTTTTAACAAATATTGTGCAGCTCCTTTGTAGATACACAGAGCAAATATTTTCAAAGGACCAGGTTGGTTTGGACAGCTTTTACTCCCTTTATGACATGAGTACTCATTTAGTTAATTCAGATGGATAAATAAAAAAGTGATTTCATACAAAACTGAAAATTTGTGGAACATTTTTCACTGTTCAGGGTTATTTAAGATACTTGCATCTTAAAGAAAAAAAAAGAGATAAATGACAGTACAAATATGAATATATTGTCAAATATTTAATATTGATCTTTTTTTCCTGTTTTGTGAAACAGCAGCTAAAGGAATATCTGAAGTGGACACACCTCAAGTGTCACAGAATGGCACCCCAGCCAATAAAAAGACATCTGTGCCATTACCGGAACTGGAGTATAAGGAAAAAGGGAAAGAAGGAAGAAGCAGCGGGGATACGAAAAAGCAACACAACAGCATCCTGCCGTCATCGGTGGACTCTAAACTGCAGGAGGTGGAGTACATGGAGAAACATATAAACAACAAGAGACTGACCACAGAGCTGGGCAGCACAGAGAATCTGTTGCCTAAAGAGGACAACAATTCCTCCTGTTCATCTTCATCGTCAAACTCCTCCAAAAATTACAAAAATACTAACACCAACTCCGTAATGCTCAATTCCTTGTCGTGCGGCCACAGCACCTCCAATGGCAGCGTGCCAACCTCGGCACAGCCGTCTTCTGCAGGGAAGAACGAGAAGAAGCACAAGTTAACGGTGGGGAAAGGGACGTCGGGTGGTTCCCACAGGGATCCCACCGACAACTGCATCCCCAACAATGAGCTGAGGAAGCCAGAAGCACTTGTTAGGTATGAAGCCCTTCCACCCACTAACAGTTTATAGCTCTATGCTATTAATGCGTATATTTGTAATGTTTGCCCTCTGTTGTACAATGTTGGTTTTGAGCTTCAGACAAAAAGATGTTCAGTCTGGCCTTTCTTTTAGTGCAGTCCACTTTAAATAAATCCCACTTTTTGTTTGCTAGAGTTTAACATTGTTGAAGCAGAGAACTGAATGCAAGTTTTAACAGCTTAGTTAAATTTGGTAAAAGAAAAGTATTGGACAGTCTGTAGACTGGAATGAGCCAGCTTCTCTTATTTCATCTAATTGAAGACCAGAAACTTCATTTTTCCCTAATTTATATTTCACTAAGACAAAAAAAAAAAAAAATCTCCATCACCTTCACTCAAAACACACCAACCTACACTGTGAACCTTGATTAACTGCAGCAACAAAGGCTTAAATTAAATAATCTTTTTCGTTTTATTTTCTGAAGTAACTGCTGCTTGGTGTATCTTTCTTTCATGCCATTTTAGACAGGATGGTCATAGATACCTAAGCTGCATCTGGGCAACAGCTGACAGCAGATAAAATGAAAAATACTGGAAAAATGTTTGGTTTTCAAGACTGTCCCATTTACCTCCCTATTTCTAAAATCTTCCATATCCTCAATGTCTGTGCTTTTGCAGATTCCATCGTTAAAGTGAGATGTAAAAATATACACAGGATATTTACAGTTAACTTTACTAAACCTTAGATCTGCAAAAAAATAAAATCACAATTCTGGGAACTTCAGCCCATAATTTTGACATGTTATCAAATGAAACTTGGATACAAACTTCTGACATTTGAGAATTTTTATACTTTAAGCTTAATGCTGTAAGTTTGGTACATCTGTTTCTCTGAACTCCTGTTCCAGAACATCAACTCCTTTGGAGGAAAGATGTTTACCAGAAAAAATAAGTTTTCTATAAATAAGCATATCCTCCGTTTTCACCCCGCACCTGACAGACTGGAGCAGGACATTAAGAAGCTGAAGGCGGACCTGCAGGCCAGCCGGCAGGTTGAGCAGGACCTCCGCAGCCAGATTGGCTCGCTGGGCAGCGCTGAGCGCTCCATACGCACCGAGCTGGGCCAGTTGCGCCAGGAAAACGAGCAGCTGCAGAACAAGTACGTTGCACAGCTCTCTGGGAAAACAATTAGGGTAGCGAGTCCTTAAAAAAAAAAAAAAAAAAAAGTTAGGAAATATTGTGGGAATGTTTTGTGAATGATGGATATTTTATGTGAAGTTGCCAAATGTCTGTTTTCCTTTGTTATAGGCTTCACAATGCTGTGCAGGCGAAACAAAAGGACAAACAGACAGTCGGCCAATTAGAGAAGAGGCTCAAAGCAGAACAGGATGCCCGAGCTGCGGCAGAGAAGCAGCTCACAGAAGAAAAGAAGAGAAAGAAATTAGAGGAGGCCACGGCAGCCAGAGCAGTAGCGCTAGCAGCAGCATCTAGGTTTGTTACAATCTCACATTCTCCTCCAGTATTTATCCCGGAGATTCACAAAAAAAAAAATTCTGTTTCTTTTTCCAGAGGGGAGTGCACAGACACCCTGCGGCGGCGAATCTCTGAATTAGAAGCAGAGGGTAAAAAATTAACAATGGACATCAAGCTGAAAGAGGAGCAGATTCGGGATCTTGAATTAAAAGTTCAGGTAGGCCTTACTCAGTGCCAAGAGGCAGCAGAAATTTACATGTTTAGTGTCTAGAGTACATTAAGCTCTGGCAGTTCTGAGTTGTTGCATTATCCTGTTGATTATGGAAAGCCAGAATTAATCAATATAAAAGTGCTGGTCTTTAGTCCTTTCTGCATTTTAATCAGCTTACAGTATTAATAGAAACAAAGTTGAGTCCAAAAAATAAAATAGAAAATGTTGAAATTGCCATTATTTTACCAATTTAGAAAACAATGCAGGGACCTTTGATCATCTCTCTCTCTCCCCCCTTTATTTGTATTATTCTTTGCAAAATAAACAGACTACATTATCTAAAGCCTTGTTAAAATTTATTTAAACTAACTTCAGATATAATTTGTCATCTTTAAAGCAAAATTTTATGGCCAGCTTTTCTGTTTTAAATTGTTAAATCAAGATAAAATCTACATGTACCAACTATTCTTTGTGCTGCATCACCAAAATCCAGTACAGTCTATACCATTACCATCATTCCAGTCAGCACCACAGAGAAGTAAGAATAATCTTGTTTTGGGAGCGAGACAGAGAGAAGGTATTTGGATTAGCTTCAGCTAACATGAGATCAGAGTGTATGCTTAGTCACTGGTCTGGAAAAACACCTAACTGGTTCAGGCAGAAAACCATGTTGAATCATTTGGCAGAAAAAGCACAAAAACCAAACAGGCATACAGACAGACACCTATCAGGTAAAGTGCTGAAGAATGTCACTGTCATAATTACCGTTTGTTTTAACCTTGCATTCACTCCAATCTCCATTGTGGCTTTAGAGTCAGTAGTGTGAAACTGGCTCAAACAGTTAGTGTTTCTCAAGTCCTTCTGCTCTGCATGCTTTTGGGGTTTCCCTTCTACTACACACCTGGATTGTATCTGTGGGTGATTAACAGCTTTCTGTCAATCACTCACACTTGATTGTTATGCAATCATTTGAATCAGCTGCTCTGGAATAGAGACACATCCAAGACATGCAAAGCAGGGGGCCCTGAGGACTGGAATTGAGAAGCACTGAGTTAAACCCTTTGTAGTTTGAATGCTTCAAAATCTTAGAAATATGTCAAAAACTGCAAACTGGTCATATTCAATTCTGTTGTGATGTGTTCTTTTTAAAATCTGCTTATTTTCTGAAGTCCTGCTCGTGTTTTTATTATCAGTTTACCTCTGTTTGGAAACGAATACTCTACAAATTAATATTTCTTTCCACAAAGTATCTTAGGGTGATTCTGACATTGTGTGCACAACTTGTTTATATTCCAGGAACTTCATAAATATAAGGAAAACGAAAAAGACACAGAGGTGCTGATGTCAGCGCTGTCAGCCATGCAGGACAAAACTCAGCACCTTGAAAACAGCCTGAGCGCAGAGACCAGGATCAAGCTGGACCTCTTCTCTGCACTTGGAGATGCAAAGAGACAGCTGGAAATTGCACAAGGTGCGCAAAATATTTCCCAATATGTTGCCATTAATAAAACTTTGATATATTGTTTTTTTAACTTTTTTTGTTTGTTGGTTTTTTTAGGTCAGATTCTTCAGAAGGATCAAGAAATCAAAGACCTGAAGCAGAAGATAGCAGAAGTCATGGCCGTCATGCCCAGCATCTCTTACACGGCCGACACCAGCAGCATGACCTCCGTGACCCCCCACTACTCCTCAAAGTTCATGGACACCAGTCCCTCCAGCCTGGACCCCAACGCTTCTGTTTACCAGCCCCTCAAAAAGTGAACGCCTTTTCTCTTCTGTTCCGTTCTGCCCCTCCCTTTCCTCCATCCACCCTCTCTACACTTTTACTGCTCCTGCAGGCCCCGTCATGTCGCGGCTGAGAACTCAAGTTTTCTTCTGTTCTCTCTTTTTGCCAGGTCAGAAGGATGTTGTATTGTGTGACTGTGTTTGTTGTAGTTAAAACAAAAGACACAAAAAAATAATAATAAAAACTCCCCAAACCACCTAAAAACTGACATCCCCTGGAAAATTAGGAAGCCCCAGTTGTTTTTATTTAAATGTCTAGTGAAACCTCACAGATTCAGGTTTGTATGGTCATCTCAAGGGTGTGGCTCCTCTGTCACTGCAGCCGTCTACCAGCTCTCGGGGAGAGGCAGATGAGTTTCTTTTGCTTCATTCTTCTGTGACTCATAGGTCCATGTATTTGGCGCTTGGTTTTTGCACCAGTGGTACAACCAGAGGAGTGTATTTCCCTGATGGAGCGACGTATTCTCTAATTGCAAAACCAGACAGCTGTTTTCTTTAACCGTACTCTTTTCTCTAAAAGCTACCGGCTAAAAAAGACATGCAAGCAAAGTTTGAAATACATTTTTGATTAAGTTGTATCAGAACCTGAGCTTTATGAGATACTTACAGTATGATTAAGTTTCTCAGTACTTACTCAAAAACGTTGCATGTGTAAAATGATGCAAGTGGTTTTTATGAGGAAAGAAAAGCAACAAATCTACCATTCAAGTTTTTTCCCTCAACAATATTTCCATAGGGGTGAATTTGAAAACCTCAGTATTTATTTACTCAGAGTGCTGGTTGGCCCAACCTTACTTGTATGATGACTTCAGTGTTCTGTGTGAAGTCATTGAGGTGAGGACAAAGCACGGCCCAAAAAGCTCTTAAAATAGTTGTGACATATTTCACAAGCTGGAAATGTTCCTCTTAGCATAGTCAGTGGGAGGAAATTCCATTAGCCAGTTTTGAAGAACTGTTGTTCTTTAACCAGATTCATCAGTAATTAAATAAAAAAAAGTGAAAAGGAAAACACCACAGCTCATTTGTGCTGCCTAAAACCTCATATCTTTCAGTCGTACATTTTAACATCCACAATGATGGACAGGGCAGTGTTTGAATGAAATATAATTCCACTGCAGACTTCCTGTTTTCTTAAATGTGTTCCAAAACTGTATTGCAAATTTATTTGTGCTCACATATTTGTCGATATCCAGTTAAATACCACTCAGTGAAATCTACACCAGGCAGAGGATTTGGTCACCTGTTCGGTTGTAAACTCTCGTCAAATTGAAATGCTGTTTCTTTTGGTAACCACCTCGCTCCCATTTCTGGTATTCTGCGAGAAATGATGATTATCTCACACACACGCATGCGGTTTTGTTCACCTACTGTATACGGAGAAGCATTTGCTACCTTGTTGTCCCACTCAGACTGCAGTTGTCGGCTTCTTGAAAAATGTTGTGAAAATTACAGTTTAGTCAGTTGTTCCGTCAACTGATGGGTGAACATAAACAGAAGTTCTGCTTTATTTGTTTTTTGTTTTCTATGCCCACAGTCACAGTTAAGTTCTCTCCTCGGTCTGACCTTGGCTGCGCTCTCGCTCTGTGAGGTTTACAGGAAATTAAAAAATTTTCTTGCAAACTTATGTACCTGCTGGTTTTGGGTTTTTTTTAACTCATTTTGCTGATCTTTTTGTGAGGCATTATGGAGCGAATAAATGGTAAAATTACAACTAATTTGTTATATATATATAACAAATATATATATATTGTTTTTGTGCAGATTTCTTCCCTTTGCTTTTATGTTTAACAAATCAACAATTTTTAAAAAAATATTTGATTGTACAGTGCAAGATCTTCTTCTCACCACTAGGAGGCAGTGCAAATCAAAACAGATTAACTGTCCATATAGGATCTTGTCAACTGACTAGACCCATTATTTTCTTTTTAAGACCATAAAATCCCATTTAGCAGTGACAAAAGGAAAAAAAAACAATTAATAAAATCTTCCTGAGTGCTACTGAGCACAAATATTTAGTGCATTGTGACTAAAGCAGTGACAGGTTTGGTGGGTAGATTAGGTCCTTGGAGAACATCAATATGTTTTTCTTCTAACCTCCAAGTTCTGCATTTTTACATTTCATATTTAGATTTTGAGCATTTGGTTTCATACCAAGATATTTTGTGAAAAGATAAGACATTTATTACTGAGAGATTTTGATCTAAGTGATAATTCCTCCAGCACATATTTGTGTTCCCTTTCAGGAGGATAAGGAGCCTCATCCTAACTAGAACATTGCATGAAAGAAGCCCTCTGCTCAGCATTCTGCCATGTTCCAGCCATTCTGACGCACACCTGATAAACCGGCCCAGCGAGAAAATTGAGGGAGAAATTCCTCATTCCTTCCCTCTTACTCATGCTTTAACAAACGTGAAGCATTTGACTTGCTTCATGCTGGTGATTTGTGATGCTTTGTTACAAATCTATTGACATATTTTAAAAGAAGAGGATCTAGATGTTAGCTTACAGGAATTGTCAGAAAATCAAGAAATCCGGGTAAATTGTGCATTAATACGTGTTCAGCTGCAACTTACACAGGGGTTAAAAGAGAAGAATTGGAGATGTTGCAAGTTGGTAAACCTGTTCACGTACACCTCTATAATTTTTACCTCAGGCTTTTGCTCTAAAATTCCAGGCATAATTTTCCACACTTCACTCGTTTCTGAGGCCGCAGCCAGCTGGAAAGCAGCAACAGCAACACTTCACAAAAACTCTACGACCAAGCAGAATAACCATCTCTTTAAATTGCTGTGGACGGACACCGACAGTTTTAGATCTCATTGTATTAGACGGGAAAGCAAGGGAGGTCACTTCATACTAAGATCCCATTTGTTATCCGTAATGTTTCATAATGTGTCCCCAGGAATGTCTTAACCCCCTGAGCTTGTGTCTCTGAGCTTGTCATCTGATGTGAAGTCTGGTTTAGCTGGATTCTTTTCTCTCTCTTTTTTTTCATTTTTTATAAGCTTTCCTCCTGAGTGGTTTTTGTTTAAAGGTTAATGACGTAAGCTCTGAGTAATGCAGTGCAGTAGATTGGTATCAGCTGAGATATTTTAGCCATGTCGTCAAGAGGGCATGAGTAATTATCTTATCAGAGGAAAATCCAACAGAATGTAAACATTTCTAAACACATAAAGTGTAACTATCAATGTGCGTCTTTAGCTTAGTTTAATTTGAAGTCAAGGAAAATTTGTACTTGGTGTTTCTACTTTCACAGGATTTGGAAGTTGAGTAATTCTTAGTCATTTCTGTCCTCTAAACATTTACTGTTAACCACACTCAACGAAGTGTGAAATGACATCTGTTCAAAGATTGTCCATCTTTTGCAGAAGGACAATTTGCAGATTGTCCTTCTGCAAAAGAAATACAATCTTTTGCAGATTGTCCTTCTGCAAAAGATTATTTTAAGAGGATGTTTACATCAGAAGCAACATCAGATGAACCTCATAAGAAAATGGCATCATGTTTTTCTATCTTTTCCTTGTATTGTTTCATAAAAGCTCTAAAACTATTAACAGCCCAATACATTGCAGATGAAATCTTCAAAGCTCCATACACCTGACCTGATCAACAAATGCCATACTATGGAGTATGAAACAAACAGAATTACATACTAAAAAACGGTGTCCCCAAAGTTTTTCTTTACAGTAGTCCTCCTCTGGAATTGCATAAAGAATCTGATAGAAAATGTGTGGCAGAAGGATGACAAGAAAGCTTTCTACCTTATAGATCAGTAGTTCATTGCAATGTCATCAGACATACCAGCAGTGCATAAATCCACAATTCTTGCCTACCATATTATAAATGTAGCGATCCCACCACTCTGCTTCTCACCGCACCTCCCAGCTTCAGTTTAGGTTTCAAATCCACCTGCGGAGGTGAGGCAACTAAATGCATGACGTATCCGGTGACGTCTCTAGGACCCGAGGAAGCCAACCTGTTCGGCCCATGTGTCTCGGGAGACACTGGGTGGAAGCAGAACCGTACGGAAGCCTTCGCAGCGAGTCGACGCTACAGTCTCACCGCGGCTCCTGCTTCTTCCGCCGCCGCTACAACCGCTTGCGTAACGCCACAAAGCGGGCGTAGCTCACGCATGTTATCCGGCCAATTTGCATACATAACGCCGCCCAGGGGACGAGCATGATAATCCACCGTCGAGTGAAGCCGAGCTGAGCGAAGTGGAGAAGAAAACAGCCGAATATTGATATTTTAAAAAGTTTGGGACGTGCGCGTGGCTTTTAAAATCGAGGGAGGAGAGCCGACAAGACGGACACGCGCTCGGTGGGCTCTTCGCCCCACTTGTGTTTTAAGACATGGACGCTTTGAAATCCGCTGGAAGGGCAATTATACGGAGCCCGAGCATTGCTAAACAGTCGTGGGGATCAGGCAGACATAAAAGTAAGTGTCGCTCAACGGGTTACAATGGTTTGTGCGTTAGCGTTAGCCGGCGCCGTCACCATGCTAGGACGGGTTTTCTGTCACAACTTCAGTTGTCGGCTTTCAAATGTTCCACAGCGCGAAGGGGAAGGCGTGTGAGTTGCAAGCCCGGCAGAGCAGAGATACACTTCAGGAAACATGAACTTGACACTTAATCGCAAAAAGCTGACTCGTTTTCCAGCTTCTCCCTGAACTCCACAAGTCGCCCGTGGCCCCCAGGTGGAGCCGGGGGGGAAGCGCCAAAGTTGCAGGAAATCCTCCGGTTTTCCCGTCACGTCAGGTTCCGCAACCTGCCGCGGCTGGTAGTGTTTAGCAGAGGCTCGGTGGGGAGCTCCAGCCTCCCGTGGTTCAGACTTGTGAGCCACACGGAGAGAGAAATGTGTTCGCCTTCGTGGCAGCCTTGTTGCTATGGAGATACTCGATGTGAAACAAAAAACACGAGGCTGCCAGAAGGACTGGTGGTAAATCCTTCACATTTAGACAATTTCTGACCCGTTTATGGTAGACTGAACCAGCAGGGGATTCTCCTCTGGTACATTTGACTTTAACCTTTCTAAATACTGGCGTAGGTTTTCACACGCACCCTGGTCTCATTTGTTTATCTCCACAAAGGGAGGGGGATGCCCACTGCACATTGCACTGTCCCTCTCATCTTTTAATTCTTTGACAAAAGAGCAATTTGCTGCTTGGCGTGTTGCAGAGCGCAGCTGATGCTTTGTTTTGGTCCAGGGGAGAGAGGGATTCAGTGCTGGGATCTCATCCTGATCTGGAAGTATGTGCCATGACTCTGCATCCTGTCAGCAGCTAAAGGTGTTGACATTTAAGCAGGCTGTGTCAATCATTCATATCGCACATTAATCCGATGTTCATGGTCCTGTCCTTTAATCAATGAGCTCTCGATCTTCCTCTTTTTTTTTTTTTTTTTGACTGTTGCAATGTAATTACAGGCTCCGTTATGTTGTAAATAAACGACTGCTAGTCTCAGCCTGTTGTCAGATTCCTGTAGTGGATTCTGACCTCTGCAATCAACCCAGTTTTGGATTTCGGATTTATTTCCATGCCCTCTGCTTTAGATTGCGTTATTGTAAAGATGCAGCTATTCTAAGTCTAAATCAAAAGAAAGAAAAGCTTAATTCTGATGCCTCAGTCAAGCTTTTTGCTTTTTTGGCATCTATTTTTTCCAAGTGTCCCTGCTGAAGGGCAGAACACACACAGCATGATGCTGCCACTGTTAGTGATGCTCCAGTATAAAAAAATTATGATTACTTTGATGACCGAATAACTGATATTAATACATTATCATTTTTAAACAACCCACAATCTTGTCAAATGCTCAAACAACAACATGACTTTATCCCCTTCCCTAAAAACACAAACGCATCAAAATGGAAATAAACACATTATTAATATTGACCCAGTTCTTCTCATTAGATTGGTAGCAATATATTGAAAACTGACCATGTTTGAATATAGATATGTCATGCTTTCTAAATTTTCCTGATTGTTAGCATTGCTTAGTACAATGGTCATTATATATATATTTTTTCCTCACTATTTAAAGTAAGAGTGGTGGTTTGTTTTTCTTTTTTTTTTTTGGCTCTTACATTGGATCTGTCTCCTGTTTAAGACTCAATTGAACTGACAGAATAATTATTCCTTTTTTATATGTGTGGACATGGTTTAGTGTCTGGCATTATTTTTAGATTGTAGTTGTGTTTAACTTTCTAGTGGTGGTAGGCAGAAATCTCTGTTTACATGGAAGAGAAATGAATATTTTCACTCTTTCCAAGTCACACAGTGGTATTATTGGTGATGTCGATGTTGAAGCAGCAGCTTATCAATGCACATTTTTGGTCTAACCTCGTTAACAAACCTTGCCATTTCCGGAGATCAAAGTTGCAACTAACTTAGAGTTTTCTCAATATTCAGATGGCATCCCCACTGCATTACGTTGGGTTTGTGTTAAATAATACCTTTATTATAATTTCCTTCCTCCTATTTATACTGATGGTTGTCATCTGGAAAGATTCTCCTACCCAAGCAGTGGGAGAATCCCTTTTTCTGTGATCTTTCATATATGAGGAGCATGAATAAAAAGGAAAAAGAAATCTTTCTTTGTGTTCCATGTTTGTTATGTATTTTCCATTAGAACCTGTTTGGCCCTGCAGTGTGGGCGGTCAGTTCTGTGTCCCTTGTACACAGAACTTATCTGCCATGTTGTAATGGAGATTGCTTCCTGTAGGATTCCTTTATGGTGTAGTAAAATCCCTACTGATTTACAGCACCGTTGGTTACTGTGTGTCAATGTGTGTGTGTGTGTGTGTGTGTGTGTGTGTGTGTGTGTGTGTGTGTGTGTGTGTGTGTGTGTGTGTGTTTGTGTGTGTGTGGAGCCAGCGGCGGTGTCATGTGGAGATGGGACGGCACAATCCTGCTTTGTCACTGTTTTTTTCCGAAGGACAGTTTTAATCCAGTGAGGGGAAAATGGATGTTTAGCTTCTTCTGGTTCTAGCTGACACAGCTGCCAAAACATAACACTCCAAAATGTCATAATAGTTATTTTAGTGCATTTATAATAGGAGCCAGGGTACTCAGTTGTAATTATATGAGGCAAGCAGCTAATCTCTGTCATGTTGAATTTGGCTTGTGGAGTCTGGAAGGTTTGTTTCTTTTAAAAGTGATCCTAAAGGAGGAAACCCTTTCAAAAAATGTAATATCCAAAGTAATAGTAAGAGCATCTTTGATGTGCTCTGCTTTTACACATTCTTTCTTCTAGTAAACTTGGCAGAGAGCAGACTGGTTCACCAGATCTCTTTCATGGTGAGAAATAATTGATGTAATCTTCTTTAGCCATATGTTGAGGCATATGCTCACCGAGTTTATCGGCTTCAGTGTCAGGAGATCCTGGTCAGTAGAAGGAATTAAAATAGAAGAGAACAAAGCAGTCTTGAATTCATCCATCTAAAATTAGACCTTAAAAAATCTTAAACTCATTAAAAAGTGTAAGTTGGCCTTATGTCAATCACAAATTGTAAATTTTTATTTAATGTCGTACAAAGCTTTTTTTCTTGTGGGATTTTTATGTCAGACAAATGTTTGAGTCATACCTAGCTAATATACTACTATCCATTTTATTCCTATCCCCCATGAGGCTTTACATGATTTATGGGTTCGACTTCCACCGCAAACCGGAACCGCCATTTGTTTACATGTTAGCAACGCGCTGACCGGCTTTCGTCAGCGTGTTCAGGCTATGAAAATATGTGGAAACGCCATCTATCAAAGCTTAAATGCAACAATATTGTTTTACTGCAGTCTACAGCTATTGCATGGAGAGATGGGAACTTGAAGAAATGGCTGCATTTCTTCAGTCGCACATGTAGCTACTTCACGGACTCAGTTGCTTCGGATACAGATGCGGGTTTTCTTCCGTTGGCTTTTTGTCCACACAATGAAATGATCACGCATAAAGCATTCCTCTGCCCAAACCTTGATCAGAATAACCATACAGAGGTAAAACCCTCTCTATGGTAGTCTAGAAGTTGGAGGAAATCCCACTGACTTATATATTGAACTAATCTAATATACAAGATTCTTTTTTTTCTGTAAGATTTCTCTTCCTTTCTTTAATCTGTATGTTTTTTGGCCGGCATAAGTTGTGTAAAGATGCACACAAGCATGAATGAGCAGATTAGTAGATGAACATATAGATCTGGGCTCCTTCCTGGTAACTGGTTAATCCAGGGAAATATTCACTGTTTGACTATCTTCACCTGCAACAGGTAGGTGAAGATGTTCCCAAATAATTCTGGAACAAATTAACTATGTGCATGGATGCTTTCCCACATATTTTAAACACTGACCTGAAATATGTATTTGCTAGGAAAATCATTTTTAATCTCATCAAACCGAAGCACATCATTGATTCTGTTTGTGGTGAACTACAGCATCACTTTGCTTTCTTAGTTTATTTTTAAAGTTTTTCACTTTTCTTCAGACAGAAGCGATATGTTTTCAAACCCTGGAAGACTTACTGTGACATGTCACACCAATCCTTAAATCTCTGCAGTGGCTCCCAGTTTGGAAAAGTGTATGCTGTGGTTGACGGTCTATAAAACATCGAGCGGTTTCTGATCTGAAAGAGTGAGAATTGCTGGTAGGTAAGAACCAATAGAGCCCTCGGGTCAACAGAGGCCTCTTTACTTGGTATTTAGGTGACTTTCTATCAGCTGTTCTTGGAAACTTAGCTTAAAATATAACAATGATGTGTAATGCCAGTTGGCTAACAGAGTGATCTGATGTCAATCGACTGATGATTCCAACTCTGCCTGCAGCCTATTGATTATTAATGGCCCTGAGGTGGCTGTCCTATTCTGGTCAATGTTGAATAACTCTAATTATCACTTCATTTTCCACCAGTTCTTCCTGCCTCTCATAGATCGGATTGGAAAAAAAAACAAACCCCGGGCCGGTTAATGTTTGTTTTAAAAATGAGATCCGTTTCCTGCCCTTGTTTAGAGAATGCATTCTGATTTTGTGCTTCATCAGAGCCATCACAGCCCAGCCCCTCCTGTTTGGCAAGCCTGCCAGCGGAGCGTGTTGAGGATCAGTTTCATAACTCGGATTCTTGTTGGGAGTACATTCTGAACTCAGCTGGTCATGAGCCCTAATCCCCCGACTGCTATGACCGGTCATCTTCCTCTCTCCCTCCACTCACTTTCCTTCTTTGAGTGGATTTAGCCGATACTGAAAGACACATGTCACGGTGACTTATCCTCTGCTAAATCCCTTCCCTCACCCCTCTGAAATTAATTTGAAGGGTCTTCAAATTAAATCTCAATGGCCGCAACACATCCTCCTTATCTTTGGGTCAATAAAATGTTGATATTTAGGACAACATGTATCTTCTGTTATAGTAATGGAAGCTGATGCATATTAAAGCCATAGGGAACTTTACCCCTGAC